GATAGATAGATAGATAGATAGATAGATAGATAGATAGATAGATAGATAACACTAAATGGGAACATTGTGGGCTTCTAAAACCTCAAAGTCCACCTCCAGTGACACACCTCCTCCAATTAGGCCACACCTCCTAATTCTTCCCAAACAGTTCCACCAACTGGGAACAAAGAATTCAAATATATGAACCTATGGGGGCCATTATTATTCAAACCATAAGCACTCCTTAACACAAAGGATTCCACAAAACAACATACAACTATAGTCTAGGCAAGTGGCTAAAGAGCAGTCAATACCAAGAGGATCCATATCCCAATAAAGTTACTATGACTCAAGACTAACGAGGGATTCTTCTGGCCTTGAGGCAGAAGTCACTTTAGAAAAAACAAATTAAAGGTTTTTTTTTATACATTTACACACCATCATTCGATGTTAAAGGAAAGCCTAGCAAGTCCTGAGTAAAATGTGCTCTGGGCCCTGAAGCCCAGCCAAACTGTTCTTCTGTAACAATACAAAGGTAGACAGTTTTTGGTTAAAGCATTTATGTCCAACCTTGTAAGTATTTCTTACCCATTAAACACAACTAAGAACAGAGGAATGGGGATGCTATTTTAAGAAAACTAGATAAATAAAACAAATCCACTTGAATATAGATTTTGCCTTTTGCAAAAGAGAAACCAATGATTTCATTCCCCAGATAGATAAAAGATAGGTGACTAAACTTGGAAGACGCTGAGTCATGGAGGAAGGAAAGAGTACAAAATGTGTGGATTCTCTTACTGCAGTTCATCAATTCAGTCTGATACTAAAATATAACTAAAGGACATTGTCATTCTAATCATAGTTTCTTCTGTGATTAGCTTTTTCATATCTCTTAGGAACTAATATCTGTTGGAGTGAAGACACATTGCTAGAAACCCAGCAGTCCTTTCCAGCATAGCCAAATTTTCTACTATAAATATAAGGAAGGTAAAATTTACTTCATTAGAAATGAAACCTCTAAGATGCCTCATGCAGTATTCAATTACACACAGCTAGTGAACTGTCCTTCCCATCACACGTAGACTAGGGAAGGTCATGTGAAATGGTACTGAATTAATATAAAAAACGGTTAGGTGTGGGTCACTTTAAAAATAATCTATTTCTTATTTTGTTCTACATTGCTCAAACATCATGTAACAGTGAAGTATTTACTGTATAAGCTAAGAATCCATCTTAAATTAGAAACTTAAAATGATCTTTCACTGAATTTTTAAATAGTTTTATTTCGTACTATTATGTGTGTAGACATGGTGTACGTGGTCGTGCCTGTCGCAGTGAGACGGCTTCTTGGTGGACTTCATTCTCTCCTTCCCTCATTATGAAGACTCCAGGGTGAACTCAGGTCATCAAGCTTGCGCACAGAGAACTTTACCTCCTGAGCCCTCAATTTTAAGACAAAATGTAAAACATTGGGTAGTTACAAGGTATTGTACACACAGGTAAAGGAAATAAAATCATTCAGAGTATAGCCTTCACTGTCAGCCAGAGCTGAGATGTTCCAATCTGAAGTTGGAAAAGATGTCATATCAACAGCCAACATTAATAAATAGTTCTCACATTTTCTCCCAGTAATTATATGGTCATCCTGTGCCTAAGCGTTTAATCAACCAGATATTTCCCACCTCTATATTGAAAATAGCTTTTATTTCTCATACTATATCTTGATTACAGTTTCTCCTCTCTTTCTCCTCCCAGCTCCTCCCCTCTTCCTCTCCCTGGGCTATCAGGTTCTTGGTCACCCAGCAGTGCCAGGTCTGGGAGCCGTCTCCTGGAGTGGCCCTTCAGTAAACCAGATGTTGGCTGGTCACTCCCACAGATGTTGTGTCAGTATCGCTCTGGTGTATACTGTAGGCAGCACACCACTGCAGACTGAGGAGCTGGGCCGGTGTTTGAGTTTCTCCTTTGATAGGGTGAAGAATACGTTTCTGTACCAAGGATGCTAGCACATAGGGAGGAAGGCTCTAGGTGGGCAGCAGCTAGATTTCTCCAAGTCAGTAGTTGTGTAGGTGTTGTCTTCAGCAGCGGGGTCTTGCCATCAGTGTGTGGCAAGCAGCCGATTGTCTTGGTATTGTCTTGGTAACAGCTTGTATTGTTTGGGATTCCCAGACCCCAGACTTTAAACTTAGGTGTGGGAAACATACTTTTTTTCTGCTATGCTTTGTCACTTGCTTTAGTACTATGTTTTGCTTAATCCCTTTTGACCCTGGTCTGAAACATCATCTTTTTACCATGTTCCTACATAAAATTAAATACTCTAGATATTCATGATTTCCTACCCCAATTTTCAGGCCCTCCATATACTCAGAAACTCCTTGGCTACACATCAGATACCCTGCTCGGCCTCTGCTCCAGTACCCATAGGCTTTTTGTATATACTATCCTTTGTAGGCACTGGTTTTCAGATGTAGCTTCCATGTTCCAATACCAGATGATCTCAATGGCCTCTTCAAAAATGATTTGATCCTGTTACGAATAACTTAATTACAAATGATCACTCTTCTGCTCATGACCTAGAATTTTAAGAGCTACCAACCACATTCTTCTGCTGAACATCACTGCTTTTTAATAATATAAACTTAACAATAAGATATTTAAAAGTCAGCTAAATCTTGAAAGATCTATAATTGAATAAAATAATTGGGCCTCTTTAAAACAAAGTGCCTAAATCATTTATCTAGGAAACCCCAGTCTATAAGTGCGGTCCGTATGTAAAAGATAATGAGACCCACCGGTGCTCAGTAGAGGCTTTCTAATCACAAACACATTGCCTCCACCGTGCACCTTGGAACGAAGAGCCACTTACCGAGTACCTATAAAGTGAGTACCTGAAGCCTTCCTGTCACAGGTTTAAATTTAGTCTTGTAGGGGATGGAGCTTAGCATAAGTAGACTGTGACTCAGTCCACTCCAGACGCAGCTAAGCAGGACAGCAAATGAGGCTAGGGCCGCTTCCGCTTCTCGCCCAGGGTCATCACTGATGTCGGTTTTGTTACCACCGGCCAGCTCCTGCCTGTTCCTGATGATTTTGAGCCTCATTTGCTTGACTCTGAGAATTACGTTTCCGGCTGATGAGCCCAAGCTCAAGGTGCCACGAGCAGCCCTGGCTTATCGGGTCAGAACTGAAGGCAGGTACAACTCTGCTTTAGCTTGGTAGGTGCCATTGACAGCCTTGCTGCAAGGATTTTTAAAATTGCTTTAGGGAAAGGCAAATACAAACGACAAATTTCACGTGAAGAAAACTGAACGGAAGAGGGAAAATGGAACCTTTGTACATGGCAGCACAAATGAAGGGGATGACGAGAAACAAGCAGGACGCCGTGTGAACAAACCAACCTGAAGTTCTGCATGAAGTGCCGAAACTTGTCCGCCCTCTTCGCCAGGGGCACGATAATGTTGATGAGCGTATCGGCCATGTTGAGGTTTTCCTTTTTCACTCTCAGGATGGGGCCAAAGGGTCGAAAGAGGACAAGTCGTTGGAATTCATGCTTGTGTCCCCCTTTGAAGGTGAGCTCATACAAAGTGCCTTTATCCCTTTCTGTTCGGTAGATCCCTGAGGAGCAAGGAAGAGTGGTTTCAGAAAAGTGATTGTTGGTTAGTCAGTATCTTTCTATAATGAAGATCTACCACAAATGCCTTCAAAATTTACATTAGACCGCCACATTCCCTGATTAGAAAACGAAAGGTACAATTAATATTCTAAAAGAAATAAAAACCTATCAGTTGAAAATCCATTTTGAGACCCTCATAAAACCACAGGGAATGCTTATAATATTAGATACAAAGCTATTGATATATTTAGAAGTATTGAAAAATACTGTTAGGAGTATTGACTAAATCTGAGGTAATGTATTAGGATGTATTCTTTACTTCCATTGCATACATTTTATAATAATATCAGAATATGAACATTGCTGTTTATTTAACTTAAATGTGCATTAAAATTATCTCTTTGAAATCATTTTAGATGAAACAATTATAGTGACTAATAGGAACTTCTTGGAAGAAAATACGGCTAGAAACACGGGCCCCTCCACACCCTGACACTTATGGAAGCAGTAAGACAATATTCAAAGTATCCACTGTGATAGCACACATCATATTTAGTCTTACACTACCTCTAAGCAGTGTGATTATAAACTTCAGAATGGGGCTGGAGAGATGGCTCAGTGGTTAAGAGCACGGTCTGCTCTTCCAGAGGTCCTGAGTTCAATTACCAGCAACCACATGATGGCTCACAGCCATCTATAACATGATCTGCATGCCCTCTCCTGGCTTGCAGGTGTACATACATAGAGCACTCATATACATAAAAGTAAATAAATAAACAAATATAGATATTTTTAAACCCTCAGAGTATGTGTGTTCAAGGCTGAGAGCCTAAGTTAAGTTCTGGTCCCATGGTTGTGCTGGGGAAAATGATTTCATCCTTCCATACCTCATTTACCCCACAGAATAAATGACATTTTAGGGGTATAATCCAGGGGCTGTGGACAGAAAATGACTAGCTGAAGGCTTGTCTGGGCCACAGAGTGAGTTCATTACTTAGTATATCACTGCTGTATCTCAGTGGTAGAGCACTTGCTTAGCATGTGCCAGCAAGTTCCATCTCTCCCATCACCACCTCCACCCAAGAGCTGAAGTGTGTATCAATAGGTCCCAACAGTGCACAGCACATAGTAAAACCGACATGGATGAACCAGCTCATCCTTACCCTCACCTCATCAACGCCTCTTTTCTTCCCTACCGTCCACTGGCATTGTGGGTGTTTTCCATTTATATTCTCCTCTCATACACTGCATTTACTTATTTATTCTCTCTCTCTCTCTCTCTCACACACACACACGTATGTATGTATGTATGTATGTATGTATGTATTCTACTCTCACATATTACATCCTAACTGCAACCTCTCCTTCCTCCACTCCTCACAGCTACCCCCCCCCCCGTTTTCCCTTTCCCCCCAGATCTACTCCTCCTCTGTTTCTTTTCAGAAAAGAACAGGCCTCCTAGGGATATAATCAAACACAGCATAAAAAGTTATAAGACTAGGCACAAACCCTCATATCAAGGCTGGGCAAGGCAACCCAGCATAGGCAAAAGAGCCAGAGACAACCCAACATTCACTGTTAAGAGCAAACCCCCACCAAGCTACACAACCATTAGTTACATGCAGAGGACGTAACTCAGATCTGTATAGTGTCCGTGACTGTCAGTCTCTGTGATCCACTGTGAGCCCTGCTTAGTTGGTTCTGAGCCAAGTTCTCCTGGTGTCCCTGACCCTTCAGGTTCCTACAATCCTTTCTCCTCCTCTTCTGTTGGATTCCTCAAGTTCTGCCTCATGTTTGGCTGTGGGTATAAACATCTGTTTCCATTTGTTGCTGGATGAAGCCTGATGAAAATTGGGCTTTGTACCAATCCATAAGTGTAGAGAATCTCATGGGGTTTTTTGTTTATTTGTTGTTTGTTTTTGCCAGTGCTTGGTTCTACGCTAGGCCTCTGACTATCCAGCTTCTGGCTCCTGGCCACCCAGGCAGGGTCAGACATGGGCTCCTCTTGTGATATGAGCCTCAAGTTGGACCAGTTATTGATTGGTTACTCCCACAAGCTCTGGGTGACCATTGCCCTAGCACATCTTGCAGCCAGAACTAGTTGCAGGTAGAAGGTTTTTTGGCTGGGTTGGTGTCCCATTACCAGTACTAGAAGCCTAGTTACAGTTCAGGCTCCATTGTCCCATTATTAGGAGTCTTCGCTAGATTATAGGAAATCTAGGACAGCAGGTTTCCACATGGCTCTGCCCCAAACCCAGTCGTCTCTCCCAGTACTCTTTCTCTCCATCCCCCTTTCTTCCAACACTGGTTCCCTCCTCTTCTCATCCCCACCCACCTCTACTCCACCTGCAAAATCTATTTTATTTTCCTTAAAGGTAGACAAAGAAAAGTTAGTCACATTCAACAAATTCAGAAAGAAGCTTTTTTTTCATGTCTTGTAAATAAATATTATTCTTTTTTAAATTTTTTTATTAATTACACTTTATTCATTTTGTATCCCCTCATAAGCCCCTCCCTCCTCCCCTCCTGATCCCACCCTCCCTCCTGTTTCTGCATGCATGCCCCTCCCCAAGTCCACTGATAGGGGAGGTTCTCCTCTCCTTTCTGATCTTAGTCTATCAGTTCTCATCAAAAGTGGCTGCATTGTCCTCTTCTGTGGCCTGGTAGGGCTGCTCCTTATTTTTTTTATTTATGCCACATTTCCCATCCCACATCTTCATTTTATTCTTAAGCCTCACGATAGATGAACTACGTCCTAACCTCTGATTAGCTACGGAAATCAATCTTTGAGAGAACGTGCTGGCTGATAGTGAGTTACAGCTCTTCAGGACATCTCACAAAGCCATTTCTCCTTTCTTTCTTACTCCTCCTCTTTGTTTCTTTTGTGGAAAACATGCATCTTCTCCACACACATTGCCAAGTTCTTTTCTTTGTTCTTTGACTTGTGGGAGCCTTTTCATGCTAGAGTTCTGGTCTTGTAGCCTCTTTGATTTCATTCAAAGTTCAGACCTCTCTGAGGTGCAGAAAGGAGCCTCCTATTGTGAATTTTCAATGTGGCCTCATTTCTCACAGTCATCCAATGGGCCTGGCTTAAGATTCAAAAAGCACACTGCACTAGCAGTGAGCAAGGGCTACTGAAGGAATCACTTCTCTTTTGAGGCCTTTGGTACTTCCTAGGGTATCAAAATGGCACGCCCCACTCTTCTACCCCCAATGTCAGGTATGCTGGGAGAATGGCTGACCTCCTGTTGGGAAAAAACTCAGCATCCTTCTTCAGCCAGTTAAAGAGAGGAGAAGATATATTTCTTTGGAGGCTCAAAGGATTTATTTGAAAACATCAAATAGTTCCTTCTAAGTCTGTTAGTTTTTAAAGCAATTATCCCACGTGAGGAAACAGGCTTCTAATTATGTCTGTAGCATCTGGTTAGATTGCAGATTTTTCATATAGTCCAAGTGAGGCCCCGATGAGTTACACAGGAGTCCAGGTGTCACACAGGTGTATCTGCACACTTGAACAGCCCTTCATGTTGGAGGCTGACAAATGCCTTTGTTATTTGGTATCAGCAGTGCAACCACCCATCCATAATCCTGGGAAAGGCTGCTGACAGTTGAATTTGCAGATAAAAACATACTGGGAAGTAGGGGTGCTATCAGCTAGTTGATTGCTTGCAAGAGGAACCAAATTTGATTCCCAGGACTCATGTAAAAAAGCTAGAGATTGTTCCCCATGCTTAGATCACCACACTTATACACCGGATTTTAGACCTCATAACTCTATCTATTTTAAGTGTAAGTTATTTATACCCCTCCTCCAACTGAGATCCACCAAGCTGAGATTCACACTTGCCATCAGCCACCACCATGCACACATCATTGCTTAGCTGTGTGAGAAGACATGGCAGTCTGCCTTGTGCTCATTCAGAGGACAAGACCTAGTGGAGCCCTTTATTGTGTGCAATCTTCAGTAATCAAAACACAAAGCATAATCAGAGAGAAAGAGGACAGGAGCACTCAGAGACACGGGTGGTTTTTAGCATAACACATAGCCAACATAAGAAGAGCCACAAGCTGGGAAGTCCTAACTGGAAAACTCAAAATGTGAAACTTAAGCGTAAGCAATCATCATAAGTTTTGCATTTTAAGTTTGTTTAAAAAATTATTTATTTATTATTTATACAGTATTTTGCCTGTGTGTGAGCCAGCAGGCCAGAAGAGAGCACCAGATCTCATTATGGATGTTTATGAGCCACCATGTGGTTGCTGGGAATTGAACTCGGGACCTTTGGAAGAACAGCCAGTGTTCTTAACCTCTGAGCCATCTCTGTAGTCCAGCCATTTTAGATTTTATATTTCTGATCCAGTTGATAAAATGTCTGCAAATATTCCAATATTTAAAATCCTCCAAAATCTGAACTATTCCTGGTGCCAATCATTCTAAATTAAAAAAAAAAAAAAGACTACTTGTTGGCTGTCATAATATAATCATTTTGTTATTATGTGAAAATAAGACCATTGTAGTTCCAGCTTGGATCGTGTTTAGACACACTTCTGGTGTCTTCTTTCCTTACTTTGGGTTTGGTGTTTCAGCTCTCTGTGTAAACATCCTAATGCAATTCTTTCCTTACTCAGGGCCCAGGTCTGTGACCCACAGCTAAGAAGATGTTCCCTGGGAACATCTGTGCTCATTCTGCCCTCCTCACCTCCTTCTCCCATGATGGAAATGAAGCCCATGACTCACTGGTGTAAGTAGAGTCTACCTTGCAGCCACACTCCCAGCCCTGCTGCCAAGTCTGTCCCTTACTAGGTGAGGAACCACCCGGCTAACTCATCTTCTCCCATCTCTATGTGCTCCAGCCACCTTGAAAACCAGAGTGACAGGGATAAAGGATGCACCGGTTCTTGTCATCACTCAACATGAGTATAAATAAAATGACCAATGTTGAACGGCTGTCTGAGCTCATGCAGAACTCCTCAAACTTCTCATCAGCAAAACATGATCTTT